AAGAGTGAAAGCACCCCTACCCAGGGGGCATGGCCACACCACAATCCCTTTTCCATTTCTCCTCTCAGGATTTTGGGCATGCACACACATGTGCCTGGCATAATTTTCAAGCTGCTGGGTCTGGGACTTCAATAGTACAGTCAGCCATGTGGAACCCAGCCACCTTAGCCACCATGTCACCAGCTGGCGGCATCGTTGAATGTTTTGTTAGTTGTTTCTCATGTTTACATGGAAACCAACAATAGGAAAAACTGACATCCAAAGCCTCATGTGAAGTATGGAGAGTAGTTAATTTGAAAATATGTGATTAAAACATGTGGCTTGAAGATACACGCAAATATGTGCTTTTTAAAGCTACTTTTGTAGGGCTATTGAGAGTATTTATACATGAAAGCAGTATTTGCCTATTGTTAATGGTTGTCTTTTTGTTATTGTTGATACTCACTATCTTGGGCAATATCGAGGTATAGGGTATCACCAATCACAGGAAGGCAACCATTGACAATAGGCAGGTACTGCTTTCGTATGTAGATGCTCCCCAGTAGCCCTGCTAGAGTAGCTTACAGAGCGCATATTTGCATGTGTCTTCTGGCCACATGCTTTAATCACATGTTTTCAGATTGGCTGCTCTGCACAGTGAAGTACTGAGGAAAGCAAACTCCCCCCATGTAATAGGACAAAACATTTGGCCAGAATTTTTTTTTAATTGTCCAAGGGCATATCACCTACCAGAGAAAGGGAGCAAGTACTTCTCTGTTTTCCCATATGTCAAGATTTAGGCAAGCACATGCCTATTGTTTTTCAAACCAGGGCCATCCCTTAAATTGTAGTCAGTCACATGGAATCCTCAACCCTAAAAATCGCAATCGGCCACATGGGATCCCCAACCCGCAAACTAGTCAGCCACGTGGGATCCAGCTCCATTAACCATTAGGCCACCAAGGTTGGCCCTGGCCTGAAGCTATTAATGAGAACATTTCCAAACAAATCCAAACTGAGAGAAAAATATTCTGCAAAGTAACTGATTTTTACTCACTGAGAATACGAATATCACAAAAGACCAAAACTAAAAACAATCCCAAACGTGAAGGAACTATTCTAGACCGAAGGAGGACAGAGACTTGAGAGGTAAAGACCCTGTGAACCTTGACTGGGTCCTAGATTTAAGAAATACACTGACAGGGACCAGCAGATGGCATAATGGCTACATCACTGGACTCCCATGTAGTCGACCCTGGTTTGAGTCCCAGACCTGGTGGCTTAAACTCACATTGGGCACGTGTGTATATGTGCACAAGATCCCGAGAATGGAAGAAAAGGTATTGTGGTGTGGCTAACACCACAATCTCGTTTTCTGTCTATGTCTCTCTCTGTCTTTTTGGTGAGCGCACGTGCCCTATAATAAAACTTCTCCCTCACCAAAGAAAAATACACTTATGAAGTATATCATATTACATAAAGTATTACACAAGTGTTCAGTTTCAAGAGTGTGATTATGTAGGAGAATGCTGTTTTAGTAGATTCATGAGGAAATATTTATAATTGCAGTGGCATAATGTCTAGTTCTCAAATAGTTCAGCAGAAATATATATTTATAATCATGTATTTATCTATAACTGCATATAATGGTTTGAGGATCAATATCAATATTTTATAGAAAAAACTTTTTTTTTTGAGAGAGATCTTTGCCACAGGGTACATGCACTTACTGAAGAGATGGAGAGAGACAGACAGTGAGAAATCACTCTCAGGGGGGATGGCCATGCCACAATCCCTTCTCCTCTTGGGATTTTGGACACAGTTGCATGTATGTGCTTGGAGTCAGTTTATGCTGCCAGGTCCAGAATTTGAACTGTGGTCGACTATATGGGAGTCCATTGATGTAACCATTACACCATGCACTGGTCCCTTAAAAAAACTTTTAGGGACTGGCAGATAGCCTAATGGCTACATCACTAGACTCCCATGTAGTCGACTGTGGTTTGAGTCCTGGACCCTGTGGCTTAAACTCAAACTGGGCGTGTGTGCGTGCGTAACCAAGATCCCAAGAGGAGAATGGAGGAGAAAGGACTGTGGGGTGGCCATCCCCCAGGGGGGTGGTTTCTCAATTTCTGTCTTTTTGTCTTTCTGGCGAGCGCACACACCCTATAGCAAAAATTTCTTTCCCCCCCCCCAAAAAAAAAAAGAAGAAAAAACTTAAAAAAAAATACTAAAAAAAAATTTTGAAGACCTTTCCAAGGCATTATGGTATAATTTGAACTCAAATATCTGGCAGATGGAAGTGGAAACTGGAATAACTATTTTGTAGATAAGGAATAACTGGAATAACCTAGTAAGGTTTAGTCTGCAAAATGCAAGAAATTCTGAGTCAGCAATTCCATCCCTACATCTGTAATCTAGAGAAATTCACATGTGTACAGCAGGAGGCAAGTACAGAGATATTCATAGCACTGTAATGGCCAGCCATTGGAAAAGTGACTGTTTTATTTCTATAAACTTATACCATAAGTGCAATACTGTACGGAAATGAAGGTCAACTACTGGGCCATTGGAAAAGTCATGACGTGTCTTTCTATGCAGAAAAACCACCCAGTAGATGAAGTATACATATCAGTGTGAATAAAACTTACAGAAGTAGAAAAAATGAACTATGCAGCATATCAATGATATGTTTAGAAGCTTGCAAAAGAATACTATGTATTGCTTAAAGGTATATACATACATACATAAAATAGAAAAATACAGGCAGGAATATTAAACAGCAAATTCTGTGTACCACTGTTGTACCTCTGGGGAAAGGAAGGGTTACAGTATGGGATGTGTATATATGCGGCTTCAACTGCTTTGAAGTGTTTTTTCTTAAGCCTGTTAATAGATGCCAATGTAGTCATTATGTAAATTCGCACAGAGATTTTGGAATTATCTAGTGCTTAATGTGTTCTGTGCTCTAGGACCTGGATACCTTAGAGAAGAAACAAAAATTTCTGCCTATGTGGAACCTGCATTTTAGTGTGGGAGATATCTTTGTGTATATCTTAACTATTTCATCATAAAAATTTAAAGATAGTTTAAGTATGGAAGTGAAGCCTCAAAAACGGTGAAGTTGGTCACTTTGGGGAATCACCCAAAGGCACCAAGAAAATGGAAAAGCACTTTGTCCAAGGAAGCTGGAAGACCTTTGAAACCACCACCTACCTAGGGAAGCAGACAGGAGTAAGGAAGTGACTGTTTTATATGAAAGCAGACTAGAGCAATTTTGTTGTTGCAAAAAAAAAGTTGTCGATTTCCCTGAGCAAGTGATTTCCTCTGCGCCTCCGTTTCGGGGTGACGTGCATCTTGCAGGATTGGGAATTTTGACAAGATCCATTATGAAAAGCGACTGGCACAGCTTGGAAGAAAAGCACACTTCCCACTTCTCTCATTCTACCCCATCCCCCCCATACACACCCCCTCACTGGCCTGAGCTGTAAGGCGTGAGAATTTAACGTATCAGAAAGGGCAGTGAACCCTGCTTGGCTTATCCGAAGTTTCCAAGCTGTCTTCTGACTGGGAAAGGGGTGCTTTTGGGTGCTGACAGGAAGAAAAACACGGTGCGCCCCATGTCATTTTCCAAGATGCTCTGTCCTGAGGCCTCCGAGGAAGACGGCAGTGAGCCGCCGAGTCCGGCTCCGAGAGCCCGGCCCTGACCTGAGCCGGAAGGCCTGCGGGAGCCGTAAACGGCCGGAGACTGGACCCGCGCCCTTCGCCTTTGCTGCCCAGCGGGACCGCCCCGCGCTACCTGTCCGAGGCGCCTGCGCGCTGCGAGCCCCACCCAGGTCACCTGTCCGCGCGCCCGCCAGCCGCCCGCACATGCGCACTGTGAGCCTCCGCGGCTGTGGAGTCACGTGTCGGGCGCGAGCCACCTCCAGGCGGGCGCTTCCTGTCGCTGCCGCCGCCGCCGCCCGGGCGCCGCCGGAGCCCAGGGCGGTGCCGGGAGGAAGAAGGCCCGGGTTTGGTTCGGATCCGCCGCGAGGTAGGGCGCATACCTGCCCCCCGGCGTGGGGACCCTGGGGACACGGAGGCGGCTTGAGGCGC